TACTAGTGAATAGGTTGTATTCCCCAGTGGGGACTTGCTTTTTAGTGTCTTGCATGTGAGCTTTGTGGGGTTTGAATTTTTTTTTCTAAGCTACATGGGATTTGCAAGTCTTGATTTGCTGCATATTGTCATAGGTGCAGGGTGTACACATTATATAGAGGAATCATATGTTTGCCTGCTGGGAGATAGATTTTAACCTATTTTTTTTTAGGGAAATAATGCTTTGACACTACTAGTTCCTGATGAAATCTGTTTTATCTTTATGTATTATTTTATTTGGAGAGATTAGCTTGTTATTATGTCAGAGATTGCACTATATAATGTGAAGATTGCAATAGTTGTTGGGTTTTACTGGGGTTCTTTTATATGCAGTAGAAATCTGACACCTCAGTTATTTTCATTTAATCTTACACACTGCATCAACCCACTTCAATAGCTCTGGCTCCTCAGCTAATCTCCTGCTTGCCCTAGGCTACCATGTTCTTTTTCTGCCTCTTGCCTTCTCCCTCTAGGGCAAGGATGTGGCCTTTGAAGTGTTTCTTCTGTGTGCTACCTGTCAGGCAAGTGTCATTGTTTATTAAACATGGTAATGTGCGTGCAGCTCATTGTACGCTGTAATTAAATGTATTTTTAGTTGAACCCTGAATCTTTTCACACCTCACTCATTTTGGGGTTTGGGTTTTTTTAAGGAAAACCGTTGAGTGCAGCACTTAAAAAATTGCTGCTCCGGGGTTTTGTGTTTGAATTTAGTATTCCTGCCTATGTGTCAGCCATGCCAAGAGTGCATATATGTTTTTACATTTACTTGAGCCAGTAAAGAAGTTCAGCTTTTTAATACCAAATGTTTTAAACAATGAACAGTTTGACCTGATATGGTAACATGCATGTTGTGTTTAGGTTTTGTTTTGGGGTTTTTTTTCTAGTCCTGTCCTAGATAGATGAGGATAGGAGGTAGAAACCTTAATATGGAGGATGGTGAGAACTGGTTAAGTGGTTCTGTGAGGGCATTTATCATGGGCTGCTATAGAGTTCAGCCCAAACCAGGCACTGCAAGTTACCTTACTTGAAAATATTGGATGTGGGTGTACAGCCCCCTGACCACCCTGCAGAGTCACGTCCTGAGTGTATTTCCCCCTCACCTTTCCCCTAAGAGAACTGTATAGAGTCTTGCACTACCAACTGCCTCTCCAGGCCTCTTGTAGCTCTTCTGACAGTAAGCAATAAGGAGCATCCACTCTTTTTGTGTACATCTGTGTAGATGCCTCACATAACACTACTGCTGTTAATGAATGTTCAGAGCCAGCACAAAATGAGGGCATTAATGGAAGTTATTCCTTTAACTGTCTCTTGTCATTAAATAATTGAAAGTGTCCATTCAAAGTGTTGTTGGCCTTCATAACGCCCAAAAGCAATGCAGCTGCTTGCAGTTAACTCACAAGCTATTAAATAGTTCATTAACATGACAGGTAATTATTGTTTGAAAAGTTTATGTGGCAAAGTAGGGAGAACTTGATCTTTTAAAACACTCCTGTCAGAGGTTTGCAAAACTAATCAAGGCAATAATTGCTCCATTGGATAAACACATTGATCTACAGTGTCTGTGTATTCAATGAAGACCACCTTCAGATGCTAAAATTAACTAAGTTTACCTTATCTATTTTGTAATTTACTTTATAAATAAAGATTGATGCTTTAGTTTGGTGTTGTCTGAATCATTTCATAATCTCTTAACAAAGGTCTCTATGTTAACATCACAACTTGTAACTAATCGGAAGTTCCTGCAGGACTAGAAAGCAGTATGGAAAAAGCGGCTGAGGGCCTAAGAAGGGAGATAGGCAGAAACAGACATCCTGGCTTTTGCTGTTGTAAAAAGAACAGTGTTTTGGAAACGGCTACTTCCCTATTGCTTCATGGAAGCAGCACAGCGAGCTCCATAGCAGGATCCAGGGCTGTTCATCTCTTGAGGTTTTTATGCTTTCAATAATAAGCCCCTTCAAGAGTTCTTCTATCCTTTTAAACGCTGAAGTAGTTGATTAGTAATTAAATTTCTATGTGTTGTTACTTGCTCAGCATGAGGAAATGTAATTAAACTACTCAAATGATGTTATTCCATTGGGTTTTTGTCTACGCTGAAAGTAGTTGCAGTTTTCCTATTGCACTCAGACTTCAAGCTGAAAAGAACATGTAGTGGTTTGGCTTTTCTTTTAGCTGTCCTGCCAACACATCCCCATGGGAAGTCAGTGATATGGCAATTTTGCAGTTGAAAGAAGGAAATTTGAAGACATGTTGAACTAGGATTTGAGAGAGTATTTTTAATGTGAAATGCTATACAGGAGCAAAGCTGTTCCCATAAGAGGAGCAGGAGCAAGGTAAGAGGAGGGAACAGGCTTGGCCTCTGTATGAGCATGAGTATCAGGAGCAGTTTTATTTGCTGCCTTGTCAGTGGGTGTTAAACTCTCAGCTGCCCAGCCCAAATCTAAAGATGAGGCAGTTCTTCCCATTTCAATAACACAAAGTACTGTGGCTGGTAAAAGGTGTGTTGGCTGAAAAGACAACTGGACAAACTGATCAAAGAAAAATTGATAGAGGCTGAGTAATGAAGACCTCACATCCTTTTCAAAGTTAATGAGCTGCAAGCAGTACAAACCATCATACTGCAGTGCCTTAACTCTCCAGCTCTGTCTTGTTCTTGCATTCTTCCTCAGCAACTGCTAATGGCTCACGTCCCAGCCCCCGGGGCTGCGTGGACACCCCTGCTCTGATTCACAACAGGCATTCTGTTACCTCCTGCTGTAGTCAAGGGAAGAACTGATGCACTTCCTACCCGGTTTCCTTCACAGCAATTTTCCTTGGCTTATTAAGATTTGCTTTTATCTTACCTCTTCTTTCTAGAGGCTTAGTTGGAACTGCAGTAAATCACTCTTGCTATTTTCTTTCCTTATGGGGGCTGACTAAATTAATTGCTTTATGTGACAGTTCTCCAGATACCTAACAAGCAAAAGTCTGGCTCTTTCACTGAGGGCAGTGGGCCTTGGCTGCCCCCGTGGCACCTTCCCCACCCATAGGGCTGGCCTGCCTCCTTGTATTAGCCCTAGCTCTATCCTGAGGGTACCTATCTCATCTCCTGTGCAGCATGTTCTTCATCCACCAGCAGTAGCAAATCTTCTCTCACCTCCAGTTCTATGGAACTAGATCATCCCTGTATTCACAAAGAACCTGAGTGACTCCAGTTACTGATTTGTGTCCTGGAAAGCATGTCTATAGTAATTAATACAAAGCAGTATGGATCCTAGGGTAGCTTAAGGTTTTTACAGTGAATAAGTGAAACAGAAGTCAGCTCCTCCTATCCCCTGTTAGCGTCTGTAGGTGTTGACTTTACTGTAGAAAGACCTTAAAAACATTAGGGGGAGTGGAGGGAGGAGGTGGGAGAGGGGAAGAAAGGCAAGTCCCTTCTCCTCATACCCTGTGTATTTTAAATAAGTTAGCTAGCTTTACCTAACACCTTCCATTTTCATTCCTCACTAGAATAATATTAAACAAATTCAAACCCCTTTTTCACCCCTTGTATGAAATGGTAGCTAACATGCTTCATTTTCAGTGAGTGAGGGGGAAAATGGCTGCCAAAACTCCAGTACTGACAGCAGTGCTGCAACCAGTCATGATCCAGTCTGATGCAAGAACAGGCACTCATGTGCTTGCAGCTAAGATTCCTCTAATACTTGGAACATCATGGCTGATGCATAACCAAAATTGTTGTCCTGTACCAGAGGTAAACATTGCTGACTGGGGTTACTCAGCAACCATGCTTCAGGACAATGCTACAGATGACAGTCTAGCTCTAGGGAATGGTAAAAAGCAGATGTGATCTAATAAGAAACCCTCACCTGAGAGCTGGAGATGTTTAAAACTGGAGAATGGCTCCAGCAGATATAGCTTTACAGCAGTTTTCTTCTCCACAAGCCCAAGTTCAGAGCCGTGCAGTTTTACGCCACGCAGTGAGGTTAGTGCAATGTTATCAGAAATGCAAGCGATGTAAAACAACTGGTGTTTGAAAGGCTTAATGTTTTAATAGCAGAAATAATCATTTTCTGTGGTGATGCAGAGGTTTTATTTATGTTAACAGCTTTTTACAGTTTAGGTTCAAATAAAACTAGAAGTTTGAAAAGGCGATACAGAAACAGTTAACAGAGATCTAATGGTATTAATACATGTTAGGACTTGCATGCTTTCTACAAAGATATAGATATATATATAGATATATCTTTGAATGCAGTCAGGTCATTTCTCAGTGTTTCCTTTTTCTTTGATAATCATGGAATTTCAAATTTAGCTGTAAGCTAAGCCTTCATCTAGGCTGTCAAGAAAAAGGTCATGAGGTGCAGAAAAGGGGTTATATGAAAATAACCTCTTTCATTTCCAATAGGAGTATTTGCATACCTACTCAGTGTGGAGTTTCATACCTGCTTCAGTAGCTAGAACCTTCATAGTCACTTTCATTCAATTTTTAGTCTGCTTTGATCTTTAGTGTTTCTATTTTAGAAAGCTTTCCATGTTGCTTTTTAAAAAGTGTATTTTAATAGTTATTAATATACATATACATATTTAAAAGAACACAATTATTTGACTAAGCAAAATGCAGAATTGGTCTTCACAGAATTATTATGCCCCCTTTAACAAAATAAACCTCTATGTTTATAATCCATATCAAATCTTCCCCTGAAGTATAAAATACTCAAAGCAGCTAAGAAATTAAATGGTTTGTCATCATACAGAGTTCCCTGGAAGGAAGCCAGATGTATTTTTGCATTTGCACTGCACAGCAGTTAATTTGCTTGGAAATCCTTGAAACTAGAAAAAAACACAACCCAGGGTACGTCTTGCAGCATTTATCTGACTAAAACTAATCCAGAGAGGACATTCTGAAAAGCAATCACATTCACAAACATTATCAATCAGTCCATTCGCACTAATATAAATTCTCAAGTCAAAATGACAAAGTCTGTTTTAAGTGGGTGCTACTATTCCTTTTTCTCCCAGACAGTGTAAGTACCATTCATATCTATTAAATGGTTTTGTCTTCAATAGAAAGAGGTATAGTACACCTCATCAAGGAAGCAGTTTGTAGAAAAAATATTTACCTATTACTGTCATATGCCTTTGCAGAAGCCATACCTGATACTTGTAAATCAAAACAATCAAATAGATTCTAATACAGAAACACATTTAAAAAGCTGTGGAGAAGATATACCAGCACTGCAATTTGTAAATACAGAAAAGGGCCCAATGGCTAAGGATACGTGAAAGGCTGCTCAGTTAGCAAAAACGTGGTGACAGGCCAACAGCCCACCTTAAACGCACACCAGGAAGCTCTGGATAGCAGAAAAGCTGACAGTGTCCCACTAAATACTAATAAAGTATTTTCTACTGGTGTCTACTCCATGACAAATTTTTTTGTGTGTATCACAAGAAACATTTATCAAATGTTTATCTCTTGTAGCTGCTGTTGAACCTGCAAGAGAACATAGAGAAATACAAGTAACTGATACTGTAAACACACACACTCAAAAGAAGCCATTGCTCTGTGAGACTACATACCATCTTCATGTCTGGCCTTCTGTTTTTTTTCTCGTTCAGGCACCGATCAGCAATTGAATACATTTTATGAACTGAGGGTGCATCCCAGTCACTCATCTTTTCATCAACATAATCTTCAATAGTTGCTTCCTCATCCTCAATTTCGTCTTTGATACCTAACTGCAAGAGAGTTTGTACCAATAAGCAGGCAAGCCTGTAGGCACTCAAACGTTACATATTCCACACTAACACTTTGAAAGCTTGCTTTTGAGTGTCCCTTTTTTCTCTCAACCCCTTTTCTAGACAAAGAATTACGACACTGGTTCAGCAGAATAACTGTTTAACAGCCTCTAAGACTATAAATGAACTACACATTTTTAATATATATTATTTCTAATTGAGTTAGCACAAAATTGTAAAGCACTTTTCTTGAAGCTACATCATACAGCTGTATCTTTCTCCCAGTTGAAGGCTGTTTCCTAGTACTGTCTCTTTTATAAGAGAAGCTCTTTTTAAGATCAACATAAAATATCCATGTTTACTTAATAACCCACAAATATGCACGTTTAAGTGTGAATAACTTTTTTGTCAGCTTTATAAAGCTTCTTTCTGTAAACTAACGCCTTCTGTTACCAGTCTCAGTGGTTGCTTTATCTATTCTAAAGGACCTGTCCAGATTTAAACCAGTTTTTAAATCTGACTTATTTAGTCCAAGCTCTCCAGCTCCAACACACTTGAAATGTGTTATCTTTCATCACAAATGTTGACTGAGGAATACCTCAGACATGTTAGTATGGTAGAGGCAGTTCTGCCTTCCTCTGTGCTTCAGTCTGAAACTGCTAACATACAACTGCCCCCAAATTTTCAAAGCTAAGGATGCCACATCTTGCATTGACCACTCTCTGTGCTCCCAAAAGTACATTACAAAGATAAACTGTACCACTCCAATCTTACATTATGCTCCATTTGAGACCCTATTTCTGAAAAACGTGCTTCAAAACAAAAACCACCCAAAACCTCGAGGTTCAGTTCAAGAGGGACTGGTCTCCAAGGTCTTTACAGAGCTCAACCGAGTAAGTATTATGACACCCCAGAAGATACAGCTTAGAGGACAAAAACTCTGTTAGCAGTACCCAGGTATTCCTAAAGCTGTGAAGAGATCTGCTGTCGCACAATATGCAGCAAAACCAATGCAAATCTCAATGCGATTTCATACTTAGCAAGTAAGTCTTTATGTAATAAATATTCCAGGAAAACTTCTTGGACTAAGTAGCAGAGAATTTAATCTTAAACTAAATGAAAGGCTAAATTAAGAATAGCCTGGTAAGATTTTTAATTAAAGAGAGTTCCAAGACATTACTTTCCTCATTAGTAGACTGAATTACTAACTGAACAGTAGAAAAACAAAGTACAATCCACCCCTCATCCTGCAAAAAAGCCCTTACATTCCAAACTTCCCTAAGGTTAAAAGCACAAGGTATCTGCAAATTATTAGTAAAGTTGAATAAAATCAAAATTGATACAAGAATGCTAAGAAGGGTAGAGAATCGTAAAGAAACAACTGAGATGGATAGTTTAAAAAGCTCTGGTGAATGAGGAGCTATCAGGGTATCTTTGTATAACAGGAGTACATTGATAAAGCGTAATGATATTACAATAAGAAGCGGCACCAAAATGAAGAGAATTATAATATCAGATCAGGAGATGACCTCGGGGACTGAGCAATCTTCTTCCAGCCAAAAGTTTCAGCCTCACCTCTAAGACAAACACTGACACAAGAGCTATTTTCATAACTATGTATTTTGATGGCTAACTTGATTGTCTCACAACCTGCTTACTGTTATTGCACATAAAGAGATCCTGGAGCAGGGGGAGGGGAAGAGAAAGCAAAAAGAACATACCAGTAACTGTGGCTCCCGTTTCTCATGTACTGGAGGAAGACCCGTTATTATTTCTAGTAAGACCTAGCAGAAAAGTAGTCAAGAGGAGAAAATGAAGCACAGAACAATACTGAGCATGTACATCACTTGGAAAAAGGAGCATGACCCCCACTCTTTCAAACAAACGCTCACAGGAACTATGTTTGTCCAAAGAGCTCTCCACACAACCAAATGTTGCTGCTGTTGTTCCTACTTTTATTTTCATTAACTGTTATTAGCAGCCTTGCTTATGAATTTCAATGCAAGTTTTCCTCACCCTACACTGAACCTCTTCAGAGCATAACAGAAGGATTTCCAAAGTATTCAGACACTGTCTGGCCCACCTCCCCATAAAACTAAATGCCATGAAGGAAGAGGTCAGTAGCAATGAAGTCTTGTACCTATTTGTGATGCATTCAGTGTTCTCTCAAATATGAAGCTCATGTATTTTCTGTACTCAGCTTTAAGGCAAATCCCATATGGGTAACATATTTTTGGTGCTGAAATACAGTAAACCACACCTATTTTTGGACCGAGTGGTGTCCCTCAGGGATGGGTGTTGGGTCTGGTCTTGTTCAACATCTTTGTTGGTAACATGGACAGTGGGATTGAGTGCGTCCTCAGCAAGCTTGGTGGTTTGGGCTGATGCCAACCTCATGAAGTTTAACCATGCCAAGTGCAAGGTCCTACACCTGGTTCGGAGCAATCCCAGACACAGCTACAGGTTGGGCAGAGAAGAGATTCAGAGCAGTCCTGCAGAGAAGGACTTGGGGGTGCTGGTATATGAGAAAATGAACATGAGCCAGCTTCAATGTGCACTCACAGCCCAGAAAGCCAACCGTATCCTAGGCTGCATCAAAAGGAGCGTGACCAGCAGGTCAAAGGAGGTGATCCTGCCCCTCTACTCTGCTCTCGTGAGACCTCTCTTGGAGTATTGTGTGCAGTTCTGGTGTCCTCGACTTAAAAAGGACATGGATCTGTTGGAACAAGTCCAGAGGAGGGCCACGAGGATGATCAGGGGACTGGAGCACCTCCCGTATGAAGACAGGCTGAGAAAGTTGGGGCTGCTCAGCCTGGAGAAGAGAAGGCTGCGTGGAGACCTCATAGCAGCCTTCCAGTATCTGAAGGGGGCCTATAGGGATGCTGAGGATGGACTCTTCATTAGGGACTGTAGTGACAGGACAAGGGGTAATGGGTTAAAACTTAAACGGGAAATTTAGATTGGATATAAGGAAGAAGTTCTTTCCTGTTAGGGTGGTGAGGCACTGGAATGGGTTGCCCAGGGAGGTTGTGAATGCTCCATCCCTGGCAGTGTTCAAGGCCAGGCTGGACAGAGCCTTGGGTGGCATGGGTTAGTGTAAGGTGTCCCTACCCATGGCAGGGGGGTTGGACCTACATGATCTTAAGGTCCTTTCCAACCCTAACTATTCTACGATTTTCTTTTCCAGCCATTCTTTTTCTCCAGCCTGTGTTAAAAGTTTGTGCCATACTATGCAAGACCAAACAATGTTCCACATTACCTTAAACTACATTTAGCTACAACCTGGAATGTTATTTCACTCTGGTCTTTCACATGCAAATTCAACATACTCAAATTACTTGAAACCCATCAAAGTTTAGAAATGCTATTTTAAGAGTATGTATATTGGGGCAAAGAAAAGTGATATATCAGAGTAGATTATTTTATTTCAGATATTCTTGATTTTGTATGCTTTCATTATTTACCAAGAAGAAATTCATATACTGCTTCCCACATTCTACTTACTACTCCAAAACTGAAGATATCCGATTTAGGTGTTATCTCTCCTCGCAGAGCTTCAGGGGCCATATAGGCTGCTGTTCCAACAATTCTTTCAGTCATGATTGTTCGTGTGAATGTTACAGATGCTCTTGCAAGTCCAAAGTCAGAGATTTTGGGCATATAAGCATCAGTTAATAAGATATTTGCACTGGGGAAGAGGGAAAGAGAAAAGAAAAAGAATCAGAAAAAAGCGTTTTCCAAACCAGTACTGTAATTAGGTTTTATAATAGACTAATAACTCTTTAGTAACTGTTTCCTGAAATCTAAGATATGTTATCCATAAAACAACAACAACAAAAAAAAAAAAACAAAACCCGAGGATTAGTTTTGTTGGAAATTGCTCCATTTCAAAATTAATTGCTCTAAATAAATCAAGCACAGGCTGCCAAGAACCATCCTTTTTTTTTTTTCTTTTTTTTTTTTGTGCATGCAAAAACAAACACAAAAGGGGATAAAAAAACCCATATGGGAAAAAACCAAACACCCCCTCTACCCACAAACCCTACAAATATAAGAAGTTGCTTATAAGACACCAATTATGTTACACCCCTGTTTTGCATCAGAATACTCTTTCTTTAAGAAGGATAATAGAGAATACTTTGATCAACTGGTACTGGATCACAGTACAATTCTTAACTGTCTAAATCTCAGAACTAACAAAAGCAGGTTTTTATACCTATTATCTAGTACTACGTCAACCATTCCAAATTCATGTGCTAAATGAATACTAATACTCTTAATTCTTTTCTTGGAAGAGAAACAGAAAACTTATTAATGCTGGAATAATACATGTGCTGTGTTTACACTTGATCTCCAGCTTTACTTTCCTTGAAAAAATCCCTGAAAAATGAGGCTCATCCAACAGACTTTAATGCTTTCATAAAATACTCACTGTGTTGAACTACAGCATAAATCTTCTATTGTTTTTTAAACTTCTGGCACTTGGGAACGTTTTAAAAATCACTCGATTTAACACTTCTGTAATCCTAACTTTCTGACTCCCTTAATGGAACCATAAGAAAACCACATAGCCAAACACAGTATATTAACACTCACTAGAAACTTGCATGTCTAACTTCCCCTTCTTGTTCTCCAAACCTTCTCAACAAAATTAACACAGCTGTTAGTTACAACAGATCAGTTGGTGTTAGAACTGCTGTAAATAGTGTTAAATAAAAGGCCACTGCAAAGGGCTGAACATTGGTCAAGGCATCATCCCCCATCTGGTTTTGTATTTAAAGCTCAGCAGTGAAAAGAAGGAAGGGCAGTATGACAACTTCATATATCTGAGCTTCTTATCAACTTGAGTCAAGCCCAAAGAGTGGTCAGTTTTTTGATTCACCGCAAAGAGCACAACAGAAGCAAGTTTTACTGCAACCATCAAGCTTCAAGAGAGAAATTAACTACTTCCTGGGCATATCCAAGCCAAAAAACTATGGATGACTTTGAGAACACCCATTCAATCTTGTCCCCTCTAGCCTACAGAGAAGCTGTTCTAGTGCCAATGTGGTTACAAATTGTCTCCACACATCACAGCAAAATGAAGACTAAATCTTAGATGTCTCTTCCTCTATGTTTCACCTGTGAGCAGCAGCACTCTTCATACACCAACCAAATTTATTAACTATTCAGACTGCAAGGGCAAGAGGTTGCAAAACGAAATCCAAAATAACAAAACAAAATAAAACCCAATCCTGTAATATGATCAACTCACAGCAGTTAGAAGGGTAGAGGAGCACAAGGTAAAATAATGCATCCCTTCCAGTCATTACACTTGTCCAGAGGCTTAAGCAGGAAAGAAAAAAGATACAAGTTGTTAAAAGCAGCAAGCACATTCTATGAGGCAGGCTGAAAAAGAAAAGTGTGTTCCTTACAAGCTGGAAGGTCACAAAACCGAAGAGCCTACATTTAGCAGGTGCCAGAAGTCAGAAAGCTATTGAAACATTCATCTATGACACCCAATCAGCCAGTTGATCCTTCTTAACCCGCAGAGGAGTAATGCATCTGGGGCTTTCCTTCAAAGATTTGGGCTGCTTTGGTACTTAAAAACCCCAAGAATACAACCAACTGTAGCAAGGAAGAAAAAAAAGAAAAATAAAAGGAAAAGCTCTACCAAACTCTACAACAAAATCATCACCTCTTCTAAGCTCCTATCTCTAGGAAAACATCTGGTGTAACAAACAAGTGAACATCATCCTTAAAGAACCCTGAACTTCATAACCTGACTGAAGTAATTTTACTGTCTTTATAATAAATAGCAGTAAATCAAAGGAGACACTCTGAAGAAATGTTCTAGGACAAAGAAAAAGAAGAAGGTGGGTTTCATCTGAAAAACTCCTCATTTAAAGTCATTATGTTCCCTAATAGCAGCTTTTTCATCAGCAGTAGTTGTGAAAGAACAGAACACCTGGGTGTTCTTGCAGCACTCAAATCACTATTTAATAGTAACAGAGTGCAATACAAATTAAAGCTTACATTTTACAAGTTACATTTACAATCCAAATCATAATAGAAAATTCTATGGCAGAAAGCTGCCCAGCAGAAAAGGACCTGGATGTGTTGATCGACAGCCAGCTGAACATGAGCCAGTTTGCGCTCAGGCAGCCAAGAAATACTGTGGTCAGCAGGGCCAGGGCAGTGATCATTCCCCTGTACTCGGCACTGGTGAGGCCACACCTAGAATACTGTGTTCAGTAAAAGACACTGAGGTGCTGGAGCCGGTCCAGAGAAGGGCAACAAAGTTGGTGAAAGGTCTGGAGAATAAGGCTCTGATGAGGAACGGCTGAGGGAACTGGGGTTGTTCTGCCTGGAGGAAAGGAGGCTCAGAGGGGACCTTATCACTCTCTATAACTACCTGAAAAGAGGTTGTAGTGGGGTAGGGGGAGGTGTCAGTCTCTTCTACCAGGGAACAAACAATGGGACAGGAGGAAAGAGCTTCAAGTTGCACCAGGGGAGGTTTAGATTTGGTATTATGAAAAATTTCTTCACTGAAAGGGTTGTCAATCACTGGAACAGGCTGCCCAGGGAAGTGCCTCAGTCATCACCCCTGGAGGTATTCAAAAGACCTGGGAATGTGGTACTTAGTGACATGGTTTAGTGGTGGACTTGGCAGCACTAGGTTAACAGTTGGACTTGATCTTAAAGGCCTTTTCCAACCTGAACAATTCTATGATTCTAATAGCTTCATAATTCTCTTTAGAAATCTGTACTGGTCACGTCCTTGTGGCACAAACAAGATTATGGTGATGGATGTCACTTGCAGAAAAGACTGTGCCCTTGGCTGAAGCAATGCTTGTTGCAGTTTATTCTCTCTAAAATGATTTTAAACACGTGGAAGAAGAAAAACAAAAAAGAAGGGGGAAAACACAGGCAGAGATAATCAGCAGCTTTTACCTTTTAATATCTCTGTGAATATGATTATTTTCATGCAAAAAGTTGATGCCATTTGCTGTACCTTGAACAATTTTACATCTTGTATTCCAAGAAATTGGTGGAGTGTCATCCTTTAACAAGAAGAAAGGCAAGTAGAGAGGTGAAAATGTAATACATATATGCTTATATAAACCAAACCAAACCATAAAAACCCTCCACAATCTAAAATCCACTTCTTGCTATGCTTTGTAGTTTTCAAATAAATTGTTAGAAAGACTAACACCATACATTTCTTCCCTTGGGCAGAAATACATGCATTTGTCACATTCAGTTCTTTCCCCTGCATTTTGCCCGAGACTAATTCACCCATTGCAGTGTTCTTGATAAGAGTCAACTCTAACCCTGCAAGGCCGGCTGCTGTAGAAGAACTCGCTGTATCTATCTTGTTCTGTACAAGAACTCTATGTATCTACCACATCTTCCACGTTGTACCAGCACCAATATCAGAGCCTTTAACCCAAAGTAAATAATGCAAAGCCGTCAAAAGTTTTTACTAACTGTGAGGAGTTAATCTTCCAGTCATTTTAGATTCACCACATCACGAATTTAGTTCAATTCATGTTACCAACTAAACCTTGGGAAGGAAGACACCTACATTTCAAAACCACCTCTTAAATCTTGTCAGTGGCCAAGGGTAGACCATTAGAGTATCTCGCCATTCTACCACCTCCGTTGCTAGCTCCTTAAAGTCCAGATAACAAAAAGATGACATACGCAAGAGTCTGTGCCTCAAACACGTCAAGTCACAAAATGAAGTTACCAGCAAGGATGCACCTTCAGTATGCACATTTCTCACATATTCAATTTATCAGAAGATTCTAATTTATTAATTCTGACTTAGAGTCTTTGTAATATATACAGAAAGTTTGTCTCTTCCTTGTAAAGGGTTCAGTTATTTCTACGTTAGCTTTCAATTACGACCAATCTTTTAATCTCACTTGATGCTAACAGCCAAACTTACGTGAATGAACATTTTATAGACATCCTTGTTAAGCACTGCTCATTCCTATAGACAAGCTTGCAGGGCCTTAAGTAAAACTTTGTCTCTCTTCTGCACTAGTTCAGTTTAAAAAAATAGATCATACACGTCATTTGCAAACAAATCAATCAAACCAACCTGAGACAGCAGTGCTAACAAACAAATCCAGTCTTTTCCACAACCACTGGTACTCATTCTAAAATCACTCCTGTCCTGTTGGGGCAGAACTATTGGCATGGCCCTGCAGAGGAAATGTCTCTGAGTGAAACCTAAAGATTTTTTTTCCACAGAGTGTGTTTTCAGCCTGATTAGTTTCCTAACCTAACTACTAAATATACTTGAGGGTGTACAACAGAAAGATCAGTGCAAAAAAAAAGCAACATGACATGTTTAAGGTCTGGGAGTATGGGGCTTGAAGTAGCATCAGTTTAAAATCTTCACCAGATCACAACTCCAGAAGCTGCATTTGCTTAGTATAAAGTAGATTTTTTAATTCCTTCAATAAACTAAGATGGTCATTCATCTATTAGGTTAAGTCTGGCTTACTATTGGTATCACTCTGTCCTTCATACACAGAGTTGCCTCACCAAAAACAAAGCAACTTATTATTTATGAAAGGCCAAGGCTAGAAGATACATCATTAGATTAAATCAGAAGCAAGCATTGCATTTATACAAAGTGCTAACTAAAAAAAACCCCAAACATAGTTCCCATTTATTTAGGCACTTCAGAAAGAGATACGCAGACTGTGAACATTGTGTTAAAACTGCTGTCACAAGGGCATTGAACAAAAGGGCAATTGCACAATGCAGAAACTCAGGAACTAGCAGACACCATGGAAATGTCAGAACCTGGAACAATATTGCAGCACACTTTGCCCTGCTTCACAGAAGCATAACAAGTCCAAGCTCCTGTGCCACTTCAGGTACTGGTGCATGACATTGTATTGTCAGCCTGCTTTGACTTTGATGTGTCTAAAACATTTGTACAAAATATTATCGGAAGGATACTTGTCATCATATTTGTCTTACAGAGCACAGAAGTAAGTAGTGAGACATCATTTGGCCATTATGGTTCATTCCTGTTTCAAAGCCATTTCGTAGATATCTATTTTTCAGCAAAGTACAACAACTGGAAACTCAAAAACATTTTACTTACCAGACAAGCAAGTCGGTCAAGCAGGGAACCGTTGGGCATGTACTCGTACACCAGACATGGCTGAGCACCATCGCTTGAGAAACCAAGTAATTCTACCAGATTTTCATGCTGACACCTACAGCAAAAAAATTTTATTTGTACATGCTCTGAAAGACTCCCAACATTTGAGAAAAATAGCAGAAGGAACTCTATCCCCAATTACTTGTTCCAGCACTACTGCACATAGCTAGGCTTCTGCAGTGGTGTCATTTAAAATGAAAAAAAACATACAGCCATGCTGTATATGAAACATTCTCACTTAACATGAAAATCATTAAATTATGCTAGAAAGACAAAAATAAGGGATCACATTAGCCAATGTGTTATCTGCCGATTCAGGTTCCAACAAAAGGCTATAATGACATTGTGTAAGACTGTACTCACTTTGCCATCAGTTTTATTTCTTGATCAAATTGCTGTTTCAAGTCCTCAGCACTAACATCAACCATCTACAAAAGGAAGTATTTGATGTTAATACTGCTGGCCATATTAAAACATGCAGTTGTCCATTAAAAACCAGAATTATAAGCCCTTCTTTAGATTAGTTACATGTAATAACTACTTAGCTGTTTTCAGTATTTTTTTACTCAACTCAAACTATCAGAATATGATTTTTAATTCCTTGGAACACACTATTATTGGACAAATGGATTCAATTTCTGCACAGTCACAAACTTAACCATTTCACTGCAGTTACCCACTAACAGCACTTACTGCACAATTAATTATTAACACAAACCACTAGTTAAAAAGATTAAAATTCTGTGGCAATAACTATTTATCTTGTGAATTGCTCATCTGATTCTGAAGGGGAAACCTCCCTAGCACTCCTGTCCTTCTGCCACTTCCTGGGTACACAGGAGGAAGGGAGGGGAAGAGATGGGGTGCTTTGCTCTTCCAGACAGCTTGTCTGAACCACTGAAAGGAGTGCTACAGAAAAGGCAAGACTTCATCTCCGGTGGCTGTGCTGACTCACACCACTCATGGGACTAACAGGATAAGGTTCTCAGCTCAACTGATGTCTAAGTTGGTGATGCTTTTTGAAGTATATCGTTCAATACTTCCCACAGATAAACAAGTCTATGCTATAAAGTACATAGCCATTAAAAGGAAAAATGCCCAGGACAACTCACAGCAACGAGCTTCTTGACAGCCACATTTCTGCCGTTGATGTAGCCTTTGAACACAACGCCAAAGCCACCTTCTCCCAGTTTATTGCCTCCAGCTGATTCTGGTCGTGCATCAAAATTATTTGTAATGCTTTCCAAATCATGAAATGAAAAATTATGGAAGCCTGAAAGACACATTTACCATTTAGCACAGAGCTATGTTTTTCACTTAAGGAACAAATACACTGAATAGATTTTCTGTTTCAGTTCTACTAAACCACAAACTTGCTGCCACATAAATCCTAGCATAATGGAGCCCTACTTCTAGCTTTGTGATGAAGATACCAGAAAAACAAATTAACTTATAAATATGTATGTTATAAATATGTGCAAATAGATATGCATAATTTTCTTCACAATTAGCACTGAAGCAGCCTTCTGCGAATAGTTTTTGTTAATATTCATAATATAGATGATAGTGCAGCAGATCAGAATTAAAAAAAAAAAAGAAAAAAAAGAAGGAGAGCCACACTGTGTCAGATGTAAAAATATATCTAGACCACATCATGCTTTGGGCAGCAACACCAAAGTGGACCTTTAGGAAGGAGTACACCAACCTTACACTTTCCTAGGATGCTTTCTTTAGTCATCTTTTCTTCAACATTCTTAGTCATTTCTGACATATAAAATCCAGCTTTAAAATGCCAGATGCTAAACAGTCCATAAAATCAGTATTTAAAAAGGGCAAGAGGATTATATGTAGCACAAAATAAACTGTGATTTAGCTAACAGTCAAGTTTTCGTCACAGTAGCTGCCCTATCAGCAAGGTGCCTCTCCATACTCGGACATCTTATTACCCAAGCTAAATTCACAGCCACACAGAACAGAAGCAAAAGGAAGATGATGTTTCCTATAACATGCAGGACAATAGGAATATAGTCATTAATACATTGCTAGGATTTATTTTATGTAGGGTTAAGGACAGATCAGCAAAAAAGATTGTACTTAATTCTACCAAACTAAGTGCCTACCTGTGTTACTGGATTGTGGGCTGCTGTTTTCTTGACTGAAAAAAGGAGCTGAATGTTGCTTCTCAGTACTCTGACCTAAAACAGGCTGTATAGAAGCCACTTCTTTTTCCTGTACAGGCAGTTGTTTCTCATGTATAGGCAATGTTTCCTGTGAAGAAAGAGGTATTGTAACTTCTTGTGCCATCCTTACAGCTTCTGAAAATGGAATTTAGAAAACTTGTTAACTACATTAGGAATCGGATAAAACAAGTAACATTAATGCCAGCATTTACTAAGGTTAGGTGATACATAAACATCATGAGTAGGTCATATTCTGCCACCATGTCTAAACTGCAGGATTCTTACTTAAACTCATAACTCTTATTTAAACTGTTATTACAAATAATGGAAAATATATCCACTTTTGGTTATTTTGACTTAATCCTTTCTCATTTTCATGCTACTGGTAAGCTTTTTAGCATCTCAGAAAGCTGAGAACACAGTGCAAACTGTACAAGAGTAACAGTTACCTGGAAGCAAAAGGCTTGCTGGTGCTAGGAACTGATTCCTAATCAGCAGGTCCACAAGATCACCAACTGTACAGTTTGTGGTTCCCCAGTCATAAAGCAATTCACACGTGGGGCTCTTTCCCATTTGGACAAATGCCTCAAATCTCCTAAAAGATAAATTAAGACCAACATTTAAAAAAAAAAAAAAAGTGATCTCAAGAACTATGAAGAAGAGATTAAAGGTAAATGACAACAACGACAAAAAACCCCACAAGCAAAGCCCCCAAAATTCTGAATGTACTGAACTGTACAACTATTTGCAGATCTTCTGAAAATGCATCTAAAAGTAATTAAAAAAATGAAACTCAGTGGAAAAAATAATGCAAAATTTTGGAAAAACAAAGGGAAAAATATGCATACATGGCTTTAACATGTTGCTCAGGACCCATAATATTTTGCCACATGGAACTAACAGAGAAGAGAATGTCAGTGACAGACACAGGGCAAGTCAGAGCCCAATCAAACAGAATTAAATTGTTTTTCCCACCCATTTGACGTTCACACTTCATTCTCAATGGTTTGGGATGTACATTATGCAGAAATTGAAGTCCAGTATTCTGACTGACTTAGTGTCATTACAGAAAGGCAAATGAAGACTTACTGCTAACATCACTAGAAAGACTGTGCCCTGCCAGCTGGGGTTAAACCACCACAGACTGGAAACTCAAGATGATACATAGGGTATCCAAAAACCTCATAACCTTTGAGACATCTTAAGGATTCACCAAGCCCTTCAAGCAGTTCATAAATATTGCCGACATTACTTCTCAATTAAACTTGTTACTTTTAGGCCTTGGGTTACCCACATTTGCTGGACATTCTCTTAGGGAACAGCAAATGAGGAGTTACAGTCCAGTTGTGTCCTGTGCTGCTCTTGTGTGAAGATACAGTGAAGTCAGTGTTTTTCGGTCTGCACAGAAAGCTATACAGCTAATGTTGTATTGCTAAAAATACTTATGCCTGTGACTCTAATGAATTCTAATTTCCTTACTCAGTTTTCTTTGGCTATAGCTTGTCTGAAAACTGAACTACAGGACAATTACAAGTAATTACCTTGAGTTCCCTAAGGCAGTGGTACTGTAATGTGTAAGTACCTACTGGCACACAAACTGCCAGTTACAGTAATAGGATGGACAACGGTGTTTTAACAGTTAATAAGATTATGTTACATGACATCCATATTGGACCTTATGTGCATTTGGTTGTATCTGCTTTCACCAGTCGGGTTGGTTATATCTACTGCTAACTTCTTCCACCCTTCCTGCGGGTCGATGAAGTCTGCCAGCTGCCTCAGGAGCCCGTAGCTGAGGCACCGGACGTAAGTTGACATCGTCACCGGCGTGCTCATCTTCAGCTCCTACGGAACACGAACAGCACCGTTACAGATCAGGTTCACCGGGGCCGCGGAAAAGCCCAGCAGGCCTCAGACCCGACACCGCGGCGACCCACGGCCCTCACCCCGCCTTTCTCCTCATAGCCAGCCGGTTCCGGCCGACCCCCGAGGCCCGCCCCCGGTAGGCGAGCGGCCCCGCCCACAACCGGCGGCGGGAATCGAGGTGCTCCGCCCCGCCTCACCTCACCTCACCCTCGCTTCACCTCAGCCCGCCGATCCCCGTCGTTTCCTGGCGGCGGCGCCTCCTCGTCACGGCAGGAGCTCCCGCTGCCTCGCTTCCCCTTTAAGAGGGAGTGACCCGGCCTCTGACGGCGGTCGCGTCACCGGGACGGAGGCAGCGGCTCGCTGAGCAGAAAGCGGAAGCGCTCTCTTCCCACGCCGCCTTCCCATAGGCTGTCTGGGGATGCCCCGCCCCCTCCGGGGCGCCCCATGGCTGGTCGGGGGACGGGGGGGGGAAGTCCCTTTCTCTCTTTCCCCGCGTTCCTGGAGAAGTTGGTACCGTCCTCGGGCGCTTACCGAGTGGGGCGGGAGGTCGTGGCGCCCTCTGGTGGCGCGGGTGATGGTGTCGTTGAACCGATCGGTAGTGGCCGTTTGTGGTATGCGGGCTGCGCTTCCTGCCCTCCTCACCTCCTTCTGCCCGCCGGCCTTTCAGGCACCGAAAACGGTAGTAGCTGAAATTCTTTTATCGCCCCCGCTTTTCCTCGCTGTCTCCCGTTGCAGGCGTGGCGGTGTGTGTCTGTGAGCAGGGGAAGGCAGGGCAGCCATGCTTCCGTCCTTCAGTTACGTGACTGACCACACTGGCTTCTGTGGTACGATCAAAAAGTCGCCCAGCGATTTCATAGTGACAGAAATAGAGGTGCCCCAACACTTACTGAGGGATACTCGGCCTGAATCGCTTCAGAAAACCGCCGAAGAGCCGCTAGAGCAAAGTACCCCGGGGCCGCAGCAACCCAATGAGCTGAGCGCGGGGTCCCACGGCCTGTATGCCGAGGGCTGTCCCGGTGCCGTGCCCAGTCCTTCGGAGCAGGACACAAGCGACTGTTCAGCATCCCCTAACAAAAAGCAGCGCGAGGGTGAACCTGAACTGAAACCGGACCTTGGGGAAGGCCATATACTGGATTCCTTACTAGGGAAATCCATGTGTGAGCGGCTTCATCAGTTTGCCTGGGATATGAAGGACACGTGGGACCGGGACAGGGATGCCGGCGGTGGCGCTGGAGAGTTTTCGCTGGGACCTGTACTGGACAAGAAAAGCCGAGCTAGCCTACACAGTGCTGTCAGGCAGAAATTCCCCTTTCTGGTCACTGTTACGAAAGGCAATGAAATGATTGTGAAAGGGAATGGAGATTACAGAGAACTGTGTCAGCTCGTGACTGAAAAGGAAACAAGTGATTTCTTTAAGTTTTTAGATGCAAAGCTAGAAAATTCTACATTTTCTTTTGAGCCTGATGGGGCCAAAGCGCACAGAAAAGTAGTTCACCACTTCATCAATAGAAAGTTTGGAAAGCTTTTAGAAACAAAGTCTTTTACTGTGTCAGATGTCAATGATCAGCCCAATATGTCAATAATGGTGCGTTTTCGAGAAAAAGGTTGGTCCAGGAAAAGGTCTGCTGCTGGCTTCAAGGCAAAACAAGATCTTTATACAGGTAAATGTTACATTTTTAGTGAAAGTGTCAGGTATTGTAATGTTCTTTAGTACAGACTGAAATTCAGTCACTTTTATATGACATCTAGGCCTGCTTGACCCATTGTTTATGCTGAAATAAATCATTATTAACACAATGTAGTTACATCACTGGAGAATGAGATGAATGAATTTACTGCAGTGATGTTAACACAAACTGTTCAGGGATAATGGTTACACTTTTATCGTTAGTACTGTAGTACTAACTCTGTGTTATTCCCCATGTGCTAGATTTCCCTTGAAAGTAATTGTGGGATTTTAGGAGATGCATCTAGAAGTTGGACTAGTTAGTAAGGTCAAAACTGATTTATGGTCTTATTTCTTAAAGCAATTGATTTCTAATAGACAATGTTTGTAGCTCAATGCATATTTGTTGAGTGGTGTTTATCAGGTACTGTTTTTAAAGGCAGCAGAGGTTTCTGGTTGTAAGAGCTTTGTGTATTGTGTATTTTTCTTTCAATGCTGAAAAAATTCCATTTTCTTTAGTGTTGTGGAGTGGGAGGACTCTTCCTATGCAGTTTCCATGCTATTACAGTTTGAAGAGAAGAACTTGCCCATCTGTCATAGCAGAACACCTGTATGATTTACAACTGCATATTCCTAATATTTCTGAGATGGTTGTTTCAGCTTTCACCCTTCAGAAAGAAAACCTAGAAACACTGGAAGCAATCAGCTTCTTGGCTGCTGAACTTGGTGTTCTTCCTTCAGACTTCAGTTATACTGGCATCAAAGATAAGAAGGCGATTACTTACCAACCTATGGTTGTGAAGAAGGTGACACCTGAGAGGTACTTACAGTCTGAGTGCATTCAGTTTAGCACTTATTTTTATATGTTAATAAGTATTAACATGGTACAATCTTCTGAAATGTTCTTATGGATGTGTCTTTTCATGTGTTACAGCACAGTGGAAATAGCTTTAATATTTTGTGGCTTTAGTGAATATACAGCTTAGTGGTGAAGTCTCCAGTGTTGGAATTTGAAGAAAAGTCTTGCCCTTCTGTGTATTTTTCATAATATAAAAATTTCATATCATCTGGGACAGTATCCTTCCAGTTCATGCTTATGGGATCCACTTTTCAGCTTCTTAAATACCATCCACTAGCTGGAAGTGAGAAAAAGCCGACACAACAGGTTTCCATGCATTGGCAAAATATTGTCTTGTGGTCCACATTCAACAACTTAAAAGCTTTATACAACTACAAAACCAAAGAAAATCATTATAAAATACTTTGGACAGATACTGTCTCTGAGTGTTAAGTGTGAACTTCTGTGGTTTCATCCAATTTAGAAACATGAGACTAAATGAAGAAGCTATCACCAAACCTGAGGGCAGAAAATACATTTTGAATAATGTGTCAATAATACAGGATGTGACTTTCCATTTCTCGTTTTGTTATTCTCTGTAGCCAATTCAGTGGATAAATATATCTGTGTATTAAGTTCTGCCAGAGTAACTGTAAAGAATTGAGTCAAAACTGTAACTTGTTTTTTCCCCAGCATTAACTTTCTGGTGGGTTTTGGTCTTAGTAATGAAGTAGACTTTACAAATAAAGGAAAGTAGAATGTATGTTTCTAGGATTTATTACTGACAGAAATATATATCAATAGTAAATTTCAACTGCATTCTAAGCAATAAGGCCAGTTGTTCAAGAGATAATTAACAAAACTTTACATTAATGTTTAAATGATCAAGCAAAATAGTTAAATGCTTCCAAGCCACAAGCATAATGGGGAAAAGAAATAACATTTATAAATAAATAGTTTTTAAAGTTATTAAAATATTGGTTAGAATATAAGTTCTTATGCTGAAGGTTTCCTTTGGTTTGAATGACTGTTCTTGTACATAAGAACAAAGAGATTGAGTGGATACTTCAGAAGGCAAATACTTGAAACGTCAGCTGAGTTTCCAATTGCAAGCACACCCAGAGAATTGGCGCACTGAGTTTGTTTTTGTTAAGGCTGACCAAGAAAGAGCAATTGTATTTTGGAGTCTGCAAGAGCACATTACTTTTTTTCTTTCTCTTTTTTTTTTTTTTAATATTAATGAAGAGCAGATTTTAAAACTGAAGAGTAAATTATTTGTTTTTTCAATAAAAAGTACAAAATTCCATGCAGTTGCCTTGAGAAAATTCAGTGAATTGCTTGATTCTAATATCTGTCAAGCTACAGGCTGTAAATGCAAATGAAGCAAGCATTGAGAAAGTATTTCTGGACTATAAAATTTAAGACTTCTATCTCTGATTTTATTTGTTTTTCTCATAATAATCTGCTTTAAATCCCCCTTTTTCCTAAGTGTTTTTAATTCTAGTACAAAGGTGAAGAAGGCAGTTATTAGAAGTTGGATAGCTTTAGTAGGGGTGGTTCATGATTTCTTCCAATTATTTATGCAGGTTGAAAGAAATTGGAAGCAAAATGGAAAAAAAGGGTATCAGAATACACAACGTGCATTCAGCATGCCAGCACCTGAGACTTGGTCAGCTGAAGGGCAATCACTTTGATGTAGTTGTGAGAGATCTTAAACACCACAATCATGACGCTTCTGCAGATCTGAAAATGAGAATATCTGAAGCAATGGAAAATGTTGAGGTAAAAAAGCCTTGTGGTTCCCAGTAATGAACAGAGTTTTAATTCTGTGATGTAAAAACCAAAACAAAACTTTATAAGAAAATGCTTCAATAGGAAGAAATAGCACAAATAGCACAAAAAACTGTTTCCCAGTTTTGATGCTTTTTACAGTTTTATGTCTTTCCTGCATTACTTAAGGAATCAGGACTAAACCTGCCTTCCAACAAGAGACCATAAGTGAATTAATTCTGTGTTACAGACTGGAGGTCCCAGAGTGATGCAACAAGATAGATGTGAAATTTAGAAGGAAATTATGGATATATCAGCTATTGTTGCTTCGGCCAACCGAAGTGATGGTTTTCACGGTGGCTGTTGACAGGGTGAAAGAATATAGTTACACATGTCAACTGGTTGCCTCTTTTGGTCATGTGAGGAGCATGGATGGTTGGCTGAGGTGAAGAACTCTAATAGCATAAATACATGTGAAATATCTGTAGAGGAGAAAGAATATTCCCTGAAATTCAGTGGATTTTGATTGCTGTTATCCTTTCCCTTAGAAGAAACCCCCATCATCAGGCATTCTTAAACTCTTTCTATGAGTTACTACTACTTAAGGTGTTTTGTGCAGCAGTAATTTTCTTACTATATCTTTCTAAGTAATAACCGTAATATAAATTACTTTAAGAACATTAATCCAGCAATGAAGACTTTAATGCAAATTACCCATTATGCAAAAGCAAAGTACATTACATGTTTCTGGAAGTTAATTTTCTTTCTGAATAAAGCATTCAGCAGCTACTTTAGTGCTCTCTGCTCCACCTAACTTTTTGTTTTGTTTTGTTTTGTTTTTTTTTTGTTTTGCTGTTTGGAAAATGAGCACAAATTCCTATGGTTGTGTGTCTTGCTTTATTAGATTTAACTTACTGGTCAGATGAATGACAAAACCACCATGCATGTTAAACCAAAATATGGATTTTTCATCTCCTGTGGAAACAAATCACACATGGGACCTATGGATGTCCAAAGCAAGGTTATAGGGTTTGAACTGAATAACCATTTCCAAAACAAATAATCATTTCTCTTCTTGCTCATCTACTCCATGCATACTTACTATTTTCTAGAAAAGGATGTTCTCATTGGGTCACATGGCTGTGATTTTGCTGCCCACATATGACCTATAAGTCATTGTCAGACTTAAAATCCCAATTAGAAGAAGTGCTCACTCTTGATCTTTACTATTGTAATAATAATAGAAAGGATCTCATGAAAAAAGGTGAGTATTTTTAAGAAAAAATGTCGAACAGTGGAATTATCTGTGCTAAGCTTCATTGGTGTCAGTAGAGATTTCAGAATCTGTGCACATAAAAAGCTCAATTACATTGACTGTGTTTATAATGATTAACTACATAGAAATAATTTTGTTTCATTTACCTATTTTTTGTGAAAGTAAAGGCAATGATAGAACTTGGTTGTCTTTTTAGATGCTTCTAAATTAGGTGCTAAAATATTGTAACGAATCATAAGTCATGATTTTGGTATATATTACTTTTGATTTTAAAAGTTTGTATGCATTTTGGATGAATATGTGATGTGTGTTGCATGCTTACTCTTACTACCTGGCATTTCCATGCTTTTAACGTATTTATTCTTTATCTTTTAGACAAAAGGTTTTGTAAATTACTACGGACCTCAGCGATTTGGGCAAGGACAAAATGTTCAGACAGATCAAATAGGACTGGCTTTACTGAATGAAAAAATGGTATTTTCATTTTGTAATCTTAAGTAGTTAATTTCACATTAGTGTCGCAGTATCTAGTGCTGGAGTCGACCTTCCCAGTGATGAATTTCATTTCTGAGATAAGCCCATATGTGTGCTGGAAGTAATTGTCAGATCAGTTTTGACAACAAAGTAACTGTGAAGGTCTTCATACTGAAACAAAACATCTTTTTTAAACAGTAGGTGCAGCTTTAAATAGTTTAAGAAGTAATTTTGCTGTCTATAATTGGTATGTGATTGTGATCATCGTCATGCCCCTTGGCAGAAAAGTGTCTGCATTCCATGAAAGGTTTGAACACTAAATTAAGCAGTCTTTATACAATGTTTATTCATGGTCCTGATTGCCTCCTGACTTGTAGCCTCTTATCCTGCTAGGGGTCTATATACATTTTTTAAATGTCACAAGATATTGCATAGAATCATAGGAAAGGATTTGCTTTTTCAATACCAGAGTAACTTAAATGCTATATAGAAGAGATTGCTGCTTTCCATTATTCCTTGGCTACTGTCCCAACTTCTTATTTCTGAGTGATTGGTCCCATGTAAGCTAAGGAGAGCTTATTTCTTAAGTAATAATTCATAAGTCATATACTTTTCAATGTATATGGTATAGTACTTGGCACAGGTGTAAAACAGAATCAAACATCACATAGGCAAATGGATACTTGAGTATCTTTTTTCATTTAATTTGTAAGAGGACTCATGGTTTTAGGACATCCCAGAAGTTACTGTTGATGTATCTCATTTTGAATGAGCAGTTGGTACGCATGTGCCAGTCCCTGAAGTGTAATGATTTAAATCTCTAGCCTTAACTCAGTTACTTTTAAATTTAAAACCTGGTGGGACCTCCTATTTATATTAAAAATGTGCCATTATGGACTTGTACAGTCCTGTGCAGAGGAGGACAAGAACCAGCTGTCATGGGTTGGTATAAGTGCTAGCAAATCAGGTGTCTCCACTGGTTTTGCAAGTGGCAGGGGTTAGCATAGTGTTTTCCCTGTCACGGTGTCATCTAATCTAATAGAGATCTACAAAAGATTGTTGTCCCTCTGTGTGAGACTGTGAGAAGTGTTCAGTCTATGTTTTATATAAAATATGAGGGAGGGAAAGAAGGAACCTTCCTGTTCAGGGCTCTTGATGGCATTAAAAAGTGAAGGAGTTCTAACTGGATGTTCAAAAAGAGTGACTGATTTCTCGTAGAGCTGTGAAAGCTGCCTTGTGTCTTCTGTGTGACTAAACCCTTTCTTTAACTTGAGAAGGAATGGAACTGTACTGGTTTGCTGTTCATGGCATCTTCTGTGAAAGGAAGAATTTGACTTTAACCCTAAAGAACTGATGTAATTGTCAGAGTTTGTAAAATGTGTTAACACAGAATTGGATGCATGACTGTTTAGTTAACAAATAGTTAAAGAAAAATTACAAATGACTAATGTTCTTTAAAGGTGAAAGCTGTGAAGTTATTCTTTACACCTGAAGATACTGATGACCCTGTAAACAACGCAAAAAGATACTTTCTTCAAACTGGTATGTCCATCTAAATTGTCTATGTATTTTTTCACGGTCAGTATTGTGAGGGAATAAGATGTTGCTGCACAGAGAGATACTTTTTATTTTGCTGCTACTTTATAATTATATAATAATATTTATAGTAATATATATAATAATAATAACTTGCAGGTTATGACTCAGTAGAGTTGCACAGTTAAAAACTAGGTGATGATGAGGCCCTGAATATGCTCAATAGTGGAAAACTAATGTACTTCAGGTGCAAGATGGTATAGAAAAAACACCGTATAGCATAATGCTGAAAAGACTTAAGATGATTTTATCAAAGCAATTCTAGCCTCTTTCCATCTATCCTTCCATCTGTATATAGGAATGAGGCACCCAGCTTATACTCAGAAGTTAACAGATGTGGATATCTAATCTTGAATCTCTTTAATTATGTATCTCTTCCATACTTTCCTGTGATCTACCTTCTTTCTGTCTTGAACTGAAACCAACAAAATATGTCAAAAGCAGAAGTGTGCTGAATAAAATGCTGTTGTATTTACTGGTTTGATCATTCAATTTAAGTTTCTCTCCAAAACTAAAAATTTTAGAGTTGCTCTTGACTTCAAATACATTTTTTCTTCTAAAACATTCCACATCTATTAGCTAGCTTATCACTGTAGATTGACAAAACAGCTGTGATAGCTGGACTTGAAGAAAAAAATCCTGACCATGAGGGTGGTAAAACAAGAACAGGTTGCCCATAGAGGTGGTAGATGTGTCATCACTGGAGCCATTCAGTGCCAGGATGGATGTTGTTCCAGGTAGCCTGATCTAGTTGAATTTGTCCCTGCTCATTACAGGAGGGTTGGACTAGATGACCTTTGAAGGTCCCTTCCAACCCATACTAGTCTATGATTCGATGACATATGGCTTAAATAGACACAGATACATATTTAATTTCACAAAAAAGTTCAGATGAATCGTTTTGTGCTGTATGTTGCTGTAGGATGCATGGAAAGACATTGATGTAGACTCTGAGAACAGCTGCTTGCCTTTTCCTGAAAGCAAAAGGTAAAAGGCTATGCAAAAGGCTTCATCAGGTAATTCCTTGTAATGAGAAAATATGCAGACCATAAGATTTTAAACTTAGAACATTTATATATTGTAGTACAAATCTGATTAAGTGTATTTTCATGTTGGTTGAGGCTCACGCTTCCCAGTGGCCAATGCAATCTGTACCTTTAAAATAAAGACATGTTTTTTACCCCATATGAATACATCAATGTGAAGTAGAGGTTTGATGCTCTTTTATCGCTTGATTTTTAACTTCATTCACCTGGTCAAAAAAAAAACTTCAGGCTGATGAAGTAAGTTTCTAAAGAAAAAAAAAAACCCAGCAAAATACCAAACCCCAAATGCAGCTAAACTGAGTATCAGCTAGTTTAGTTTATACTGCATGAAACAGAATAGAATTCATGGGACTGTGTTGATAGGCAATTTGTCTAACATGACACATTGAAGGAAAGGAAATAATAACCTAAAGGTCAGCATAAAGGGGTTACACTGACACCTTTTTTCCCTACCTGATTATTTCATCTTCTTAGGTGTATTTTTCCCTGGTACATAATATGTGAAAAATCAGGGGGTACTTACATGGCTGTTTTTGTTTATATCAGAAGATGCAAAGGGTGCACTTGTGATGCTGCCAGAATTTAAAGTGAGAGAGAAGATGTTGCTACGAGCTTTACATCGCTATGGTGTAAATCATGAAGGTTGTACCAAAGGATGGCTCAACATTCCTCATTCCATGCGCATATTCTATGTCCATGCTTATTGCAGTAAAATTTGGAATGAAGCAGCATCATATAGGCTGAAGATCTATGGTTCGAAAGTTGTTGAGGGTGATCTTGTTGTCTCAGAAGAAAATGATGAAAACATTTCCTTGAATGACAAGGTGAGTCTTCACAAAATAGTTCTTTAAAAAAGAATCCCCAAAAGCTTGATGCACTTGAATACATACTTAGACACACTCTAATGTTTTTTGGTTCATTCATTAAAATATTTAATTGGGTTCATTCATTTTGGTTCATTCATTAAAATATTTAATACTAGTTCCAAAGATGAAAAAAGTGATGCAGCTTTTTCTTATTTACCATGAATGGGCATATAAACTATGAATGTCAGAACTGATACCTGTAAGAATTTAGTCTGCATGATATATCACACTCATCTCAGGGTCTGACTAGGAAAAATCTTCAGAGTGGACTCTGGGTGGGCCTGTATTACCAGTCGGTTCAGTCTTGAGTCTTTCTCTCTGGGTCAGATCTTCCCGTTCCATATAATGAATGGTGAAAGGTGCATCAGGAAAGCCCGTGGTCAGGCTGAACTGGCAATCTCGTTGCAGTCACGCTGCTGAAGCATGTTTAACACAATTTCAGATACTCAGGCAATTGGATGGATGGTGGGTCTAAACTGTTAGCAGCAGTCTTCTTAAGAAAAGTAGCAAAGGGCAAAGGAGTGCTTCTGCTTGCTCACAGCGTAGCCTGGGTGCTGTGAATGGTGCCATGGGTGAGCCAGTGAGCAGAAGCCAGCAGTAGAGTGTCTGTTCCCAGGTCTTGCAATGCTGCACTCCATCCTGAAGCCTCTCCTTTCAGGGTTAGCAGACTTGTTACTTATTGTGGAAACATTTGAGTCTCTTCTGCCATGTAACAAGTGATGGGACAAGAAGAAATAGTCTCAAGTTGTGCTAGGGGAGGTTTAGATTGGATATTAGGAAAAATTCCTTCACTGAAAGGGTTGTCAAGCATTGATACAATCTGCCCAGGGAAGTGGTTGAATCACATCCCTGGAGGTATGTGGTGCTTAGGGACATGGTTTAGTGGTGGACTTGTCAGTGTTGGGTTTACAGCTGGACTTGGTGATCTTAAGGGTGTTTTCAAACCTAAATAATTCCATGATTCTTTCTCCTGATCATCAGACAAAGCATAGAATTTTGCAGTGTTTTACTGCAAATTTCCTGGATGTGAACATAGGCAGAATGTGTCTGATTTCTTTTGGGCGAACATCTTACAAGTTTGAAAGCAAGAGCATTTGAAAGGTTACTGAATAACCTCCAGTCCCTGTAGAGAGGCTTCTGTTTCCACTGCAGTTTTTCTCCATTAGTATTTTGAGAGTGAATGTTAATAAAAAAAGTAGATCAAATAAAATGAAAAGCAGAGGTAGCAAATTCAGTATTGAGTTACTGAGTTTAATATAGCTCTATTCCTATTTAATATAAAATATTTTTCTTGGTTATTTTTGCTTTTGCTGATGTGGCACAAGATGCATTGACACAGTTAACTTCAAACTCAAAGAATATGAGCTTGGAATGATAGTTTGCTAAGTAGTGGTAGCTAGCATCAGGAAATATTTAATGCAATGCCATTTACCAGTAAACAAATTACTTTATATTAAGCATCTCTACTGTTTTTCATACCTGAAATAGATTATTGTCCTTGTCAAATAACTTTAGGATCCTTTGCGAGTTTGGGAGTGCAGTGCATAATTCCTAAAATAAAGTGGATGGTTTATTTTTAAAAAAGCTTTTTTTTTCTTCTTCTTAACTGTCTTGTCAGGTTCATGTAGTCACTGCTGCAGAAGAATTGGCTAACAAATACTCTATAAACCAAGTAAGTCTGTATGAAGAATTCTGAGTTGTTGATCTCTTTGTTTTAAAAATAATGGGATTAATTTAACTGGTGTGGTCTTCCTTGCCGGAAACACATTAAAGAAAATACAGGTGAACTAATCTCTGCTCTCACAACAAACTAGACGAAAGAGTTTTTACTTTGCAGTGGAAATACTTACAGTGTCATTTGCAGCGTGGCACTTCAGTTTATCTTGAAGCTGAATGTAAATACTTAGAAAACTTTTCCATTCTACTGGGTAGAACACTCAAGAGCAACTGACGTTCTAATTTTTGAAGGTGCAGGGTGCATAGTTGTGAATTTTTACAGAGGCAACTTAAAGTCTTTATCACAGGTCTTTCCCAACACCTTAGTGAAGTAAGGAAATTCACATTAGTATATTTCTTGTTTGTTTTAGGAATTCTGGTTCACTGAATATTTCTCCTGCTTTAATTACATCCAAGATACCTGCTTTGCACAGCTTCATTTCACAAGAGAAGCTGCTGTTTCACTATGTTATGCCCCCAAACACAAGATATAGGCACTTTTTAAATTATAATCACATTTATTTAAAGGGGATTTGGTGGGCTGTATTTCAAACATATTTGTCATCTTTTCTTCTTTGAAGGTGGTGCTTCCAGTGGTGGGACACAGTATCCAGTATCCCAGTAATAAAGTTGGGCAATGGTACCATGAAAGGCTTTCTAAGGATGAGCTGCAGATGTGCAAATTCAGAGTGTCTCCTCTACAGCTGAATATACCTGGATGCTACAGACCCATTTTGAAGAAAGTTCAGAATTTGTCATATTTTTTTGAAGTCAGTGAAAAAGGAATCAAAATTGAAGACAACCATCTAAATGAATCAAAAGTCTCTCTTCATATATCATTTGACCTTGATCCTTCATGTTATGCAACAGTTTGTTTAAGAGAAATAATGAAATGTGACTTTTAAGATAGCAGTTAATGGAAGACTGTAGGAATATAATACAATGGTGATATGTTATGTGTAATGCCAAGAAAATAAGGGAGAATAACAGGTTCAAGCCAGGAACGGGAACAATTTGTAGATTGAGATTCATATTGCTTAGGAAAATAAGCCCACTCAAAACCTTTGGAATGTTCCAAACATTCCAAACCCTAAATGGAAACCTTTGGATGCATTGGTGTAAAACTGTGTTTTATGCTAGGTAGGTCTAACAGAACATGAAGAAACTATGGGCTGCAAGCATGTATTTCATGTCTGCATAGACGTCTGCCTTGCAAAGTTAAACCCTGGAAAAATGTTTGCAGTAAAGAAATGCACCCTTTATTTCATAATCTTTTTTCATAAAGTGGTTTATACTAAGTGCCGTTCAAACAATGTTACAAGTTTGCAGCCTACAGGTATCTAACTGAAAAGTTGCTGTACTGAGGTGCATTAAATACATTATGGTTTTTTTTTGTTGTGTGCAGGTACTAAGTGTTAAAGTCCTGAATCAACAGTGACAAGTTTGATGAATCCCCTAACTAAGTTAATGCCAAGGATTCCGGAATTAAGTACTGCATAGCTGTTAGTTAGAACCTGTTTGAGTAAGCTCAGCAAGATGAGGTGAGTAATTAACATAGCTGCAAAACCACTCAAATAAAACCAGACCCCTGTTTTACTGTTTACAGGACTCTATTGCTGTGAGGTATTATGATAGCAAAAATATGTTAATGGAACCATCCCTGGAACAAAGATTTTGTATTTTTTTTCTTAATTAAAAAAAATTATTGTGATAAAATGAGTGGATCTGTGAAAAAGGGGAGAGCAGAAAATGCCATTAACGAGGTGTTTGACACTGTCCCACAATGTTCCTGAAACCAAGTCATGATATTAATGTCTGGATGGGTGAATAGCCGCTCGGGGAACAGCAGTTAATGGGTCATACCCTACCCAGAGTGAGTACCGCTAGAGGGTCTCCTGGACCCCATCCTGTTCAATGTCTTTGTCAGTGACCTGGATGAAAGGATGGAGTTTGCCCCCACAGAATGTGCAGATGAATCTAAACTAAGGGAACAGATGGAATTCTGAAGGATCAGGCTGCTATTCAGGCCAACCTATACGTGCTGGAGGAGCAGGCCAACAGGAACCTTATGACATTCAGGAAGGATGAATGCAAAGTGCTGCCCTCAGGAAGGAAGCACCCCTGTAGCAGCCAGACTGGGGAGCAGCTCTTTGGGCATGGCTCTGGGGGACTGGTTGGCAGCTGAACACAGGTCAGCTGTATGCGTGGCAGCAAGGGTGACCAGCAGCCTCCTGGGACACAGAAGAGGGAGGCAAGGGATTATGTCTCATATTTCAGCACTTTTGGATCCCATTCAACTTCTATGTCTGTTTGTGATCCCCAACATAAGAAATGCATTAAAAAATTAGAGCAAGTTCACCCAAGGGTTTCCAAGCTATTTGGGGACTGGAGCCCCTTCCCTTTTGAGGAGATGCTGAAGGAACTGGGCTTCTTCAGCCTGGAGAAGATACACCTTAGGGGTGGAACCAACAGCAGCTTCCCAGTACTCACGGAGATGTTAGCAAACAGGTGGAGCCCGGCTCTTCAGAGTGGTGCACAGCAGGAGAACAAGAGGCAGAACATAAATTTAAATGAAAACTTTTCAACTTTCCCCCCGTGAGGACAGTCAGGCTGTGGAACAGGCTGTGGGATAAACCTCTGAGCAACCTGGTCAATGACTCAGAGGTAACCCTAATTCACGGAGGCAGTTGCACTAGAGACAGATGTCTGTTCCAGTTCCAGTTACCCTGCACAGGACATTGCAAGTGTTTATTCAATCTGTAGATGGCAGTATGTCTATGGCAAAGTCTACTCATTTTTAGCGAGTAAGAATTGGTAATATACATTGAATTTTATTTATGGCATCATCTTTCAGTTGTTGCTAACAGTTGAGTAAGGTAAATCTCCAAACACTGATAAATAGATGTAGAATTATAGGAACAGGGAAAATAGAATTACAGAAATATACTTCACATGATTTCAGCGCTTGTATAAAACCATGTAGCAATGAAGGATCCAGGTAATTCACTGCATCACTGAAGATTACTCTGTAAGTCTGTGCAAGTAATTAAAAATTTGACCCTTAGCTTTTATAAGGGAAAATAAACTGTCATCCAAACAATAGCTATAGAGCCACTGCAGGTGACTTACAATGCTTGCTGTATTACAGTGCTTACTATACACCTCAGGTTTATGGTATAGAGCCAAACTGATACAAAAATTCATTTCCCTGCCATGACCCATCTGGGACAGCTTTGTTCCAGTCTTCGCTTGTCAGTATCATCTCTGGTCTTTCACCTGCCCTTAAAAATACCCCTCTTCTGGAAAACTATTTTTAAATCAAGTTGTTTTTGGTACAGCACAGCTCTAAAAGATTTGTTCTGTGGCCACTGACATGGTAAAATGCTCCAGTGCATACAGGAAGCTGCATGCAGCTGCAATGACCAGAAGAAATAAATTAGCACTGAAGTTCTATTTAAAAAGACTATTGTGGTCTTCTTCAATGTTGCTCAAAACAGCCTTGACAACTATCTCATCACGTATATACAAGATTTGAATACAGAAAGAATTAGAAGTTGAGCCTTGATGAGGGAAGCCACAAAAGGTCAGATTAAAAGGTTTGTGACTGAAAGGCATGCTATTTTAAAATAAGAGATCAGAAGGTGGTGTTAAAAGAGTTCCCCTATAATAATTTTAGGCTCATTTGTCAGTGCTTCCATTGAACACTAAAAGGACTAATCTTCTTAAGCAAATCATTCTTTCAGCAACTTTCAGGTGAAAGAGCTAATTATGTGTGTCCATGGGTTAAATTCCTATAGTAGAAATGTTCTACTAGGGAAAAGTCAGTTTGCTATTAGAGTCTTTATATAGCAAACATCCTTCTTATTTCAGTTGGCATTTGTTTGTAGTTAATTCTCTTAATCCTAGCAGCTATTTTGCAGGTTTGTGTACATGAACAGCTGAATCCAGAGAGTTTGTATAAGAGCAATAGTCACCTCCCTAAGTATAATCTATATAAGCAAAACATCTGTGCCCCTGCATTTAGAAATGATTATCATTGTGCACTGATCTGAGTTGAAGGAAAAGATAGGTGTGTTAGTCATCTCTCATCTTACTAAGCACTTCTATTGCTACCATCCTTTTCTGAGTAGCCTTAGCACTTTGCTAATACTAATGAAGACAGGTCTCTGACTGTTTCTAACAAAAGGGCTTCAATGGCAGTTGATTTTTTTTTTCAGGAGATGATAGATAATTGGGCATTTGAATGGGAAAAATGCAAATGTTCTTAATCTGTGAAATCCTATTACTTTTAATTCATTACAAATTTGACAACTAGTATTATCCGCAATGAGAATGCACACATTTGCAGGTCTTTCGGAATGAGGTGGCTTAAAATTACATTCCTATCATAAAGGCAGTTCAGAAGCCAGGTAGATGTGTGATTATTGGCCCAGCTCACTCATTAAAACTCCATTAACTTCTCTCTTAGTGGCAGTGCCTGTCAGCTGGTGATTTGACCTCTTACACCCAGCTGATGAGCATAAACCTCCTTTCCTTTCTCTTGCAGAACTTTTGCCCATAATAAAAGCTCAAGGGAACAAGCTGAGAAACTATTAACACTTTCCTTTCTTTCAGTCGTCAGTCACCCCTTGCAGCCCACTGGTTCAGCTCTAGATCCTTTTCAGAGGAAATGAAACCCAGAAGCATGTTCCAGCTGCATGCCAAGCACCCAAATGGAGGAACAGGGATCCAAATGAGAAGTTGGTCACTTGAATGGCTTCAGACCATACAGAGGGGTGCGTTCTGCTATGAAGTCTAAACAACATTTAGCTCAACATAAAACCACCAAACCAAATGTGTACAGATAGGGGCTTCAGTGCTCCAGTATGTTAATCTGTTCCTGTCACACCAAAAAGCTTGCTCATGTAGGCAATGTTGTATTTGCAAGGAAGGCAGAATCAATGAAGTCAGATGTTTGCACCATCTGGAGTTACTTTATTCCGCTTAGCAAAAGTTAGTCTTGTATTAGAGAAATTTAAATGCATTTTCCGTTTTTGCACAAATATTCCTACCTGCTTAGAACAGTGATATTTTTAATTAACTTTAGAAATGACTGATTCAAAAAACTTGGTTTTATGTCTTCCAGAATGTTCTTGCACTTCACAACCTAGGACACTCTCTCCAACTCCCAGAAAAAGGCACTTTGTATTTTTTACCTTCAGATCTCTGTTTGCATCTCTACTGATACTGTTAATAATAAGTCAGATTTCTGATTTTCAGATTTTTGCATAAAAAAGAACTGTAGTAATACGTGGCCAAACCATTCACTTGTGAAAGCAGGACATGAATCATTTAGTGATTTCATATCAATATTATAGAGAAACAAATACATAGAATTAAACTGGATATGAATTTAGTGCTCTACAACTCCAGTGACTTGAGTCAAGGTTCAGTCTTGTCATCCTGTCTGCAGTGGTTCCTATAAGTGGGTATGTAGGAAAGAGTAAAGCAAGAGAAGTCCATATGGTATTTATCCTCTACTTTGAGTTCAGGCAATTTCCTGGGCCTCAGTGTTTTTTCTGTATAATAACTCTCAGTGGATTTCTTTCCCAAATAATTCTCATCTTCCCTTAAATATGTTCAACCTCTTCCCAGAGTTCCATGTTTGATACCTGTTGTACGAAGAGGCACCTTTTGTTGTTGTTGCTGTTGGTTTAAACTGCCTCCTTCTGACTTCATTTGATGATTTTTGGATCTTGTATTTCTATACAAGGAACAGTAAAGACTTGATCCATCCTTGTGGTACTCAGCCATTTGTATGCTTCCCATATTTATCCCTTCATGTAAATCAGTTGCTTACTACAACTGAGCAGCCATGCAGTCTCTGCTCCTATGGAAATTGCTCCATGCTTACAATAACTTTTGTCCTGTGAACTTTTCTTGGGTTTTAGTATGGCCTTTTGGAGACGAGGGATCTAGAACTGCACACAGTTCAATTTTTATAGTACGGATTTCTCCACTGACATGAAGTATTTTTGACATGTTTGTTTTGTCCTGCACCTCTCACATGTGATTCCCTTTTTGACACACCTTTCTTCCTCAAGCATTGAACCAACATATTTTGGGAACTAGGTAACATAACTCCAGGGTTCCACCTCAGAGTGGTGATTTCACCCTGAAGTCAGGTGAAAGCTCATTATTTTATGTGTGAAGTCAGGATTTGTCTCGTCTGTGAGTCACTTTGCATGCTTCTACACTCTAAATTTCATCAGCTGTTGTATTACCCTGTCATTAGCATCATAAGGATTTTTTGCAGTTCTTCACAGTCTACCCTTATTACTCTGAGTAACTCAGCATCATCGTCAGTCACCTCTGTGCTTCACTTCTTTTACACACACAGTAAACTGCATTCCAGGGCCCTCTAGCTTATACAGTGACTGCTTAAAGGTGCTTGGGAATGGACTTTGTCGATTGCCTACTGGGAGCTCAAGTGCACCATCTCCACTGCAGCAGGTAATACATTCCATGCAGCTCGTAACCTTTCCACAGAACTCCGAGGAGGCTGCAAGGCAATACTTTACAGGAGCCATGTCAGCCTTTCCCCAGTGGATCACAATTCAAGTG